AGGATAAAACAAATCCGTTAACCTCTCTAAGTAAAACATTTCGAAAAATAATTAGAGCTGGTACTTTTGGATGGTAATATATGCTACGATATAACTATAAATTAAGTACGCTCAACGAAAAATGTAGTATTGCAAGGTTCATTAAATCGCATCAATAGAGTAACAAGAAAGGGTCTATTGTGAGTTTTCATATAGAATCTTATTGTACTCAACTACTTCAAGTTAAACCAGTTCCAAAATCATATTTTTAATTTATATAGCAATTTTATATATAATGTAATATAATATGAAGAGAAAAATAGGATTTATAATATGTAGGGCCTTAGAACTTATTACCAATAAACCAATATCACAAGAACACATATTATTTAGGTTATAAAAATCTTTTATATGTAGGAGTCGAATAGAAAGACTTAGAAAGATATTATAAGATCATTAACTTTTAAAACATTATTTAAGTCCATACATCAATGTTACAATTAGAGAATAGTCATTGATGGAAAGCATTCTGTTAAAAAATGTTTACTTCAAGTATTCTTACAATCAGATGAAATAAAATGCTAGAATTATATCCAACCAAGAATAATCTTTTGTAAATCAGCTTTGACACCATTACTTCTCTTCTTGAATGATCCTTAACTGATTTGTTTGGGACTCTGTAGGAACGCTTGTTTCCTCTTGTCCCGATAAAATTAATCATCGTGATTTACTTAAACTCATGATATATTCAACATCATTAATCGCTATTCACAAATTATAGATCTAAAATTATCACAATTTCGTTTTAAATATCAATCAAGTTGATACACTTATTATGGATGCCATATGAAATGAACCACATATAAATAACTTTTTGCATAGAATAGAATTTTTTGTGCCAATAACTGGCACATAATCAAACGGAATACCTTATGAACAAATGTAGCGTAGACCATTAAGGTCCCTTGCGATACCAGATCAGAGTCTTAGTTTAGCGATTGTATGCATCACTTAGGATGCGCGTTTCATCAGCAAAATTTATTAAATGCAAGAATAGTTCTCATGTTAAACATTTCCTGATAGCAAATAGGAATAGGATAACAATAACAGAACTCAGCGGAATATCAAAATATCAAAATGTAAGCATTGAATGTAAATTAAAAACTTTATTAAAAATTTTTTAAATTGAAATTGAATTGATAAAATGGTTAAATAATTAAAGTAGATCGGGTCATAAATTAATTTTCAATAAATCATTATACACTTTTCGATTGCTTTTTACAAGTTTATTCGGAGAAATTAAACTTAACAGAAAAACTTTTAAATTATGAATAAAACCGCCATTAACGTCAGCTACTTCGCCAAAGGGTTTTTCCTTTTCCGGTCTTTTGCTAAACTTCC